GGGGGGGGGGAGGGGAGGGGGTCAATGTTGGGGTTCGATTGCGCACCACGCACAAGTATCGGTGGATACCCAGCACGAGAGGCGGAGAGGGGTGGGAAGCAGACCGGGACGCCGTTGCGATCTTGTGGACGCCTCTTCTTCCGCTGTCAATGCAATCAACTAACAATATAATATTCCTTGCAGACATGATCAAATAACCCTATTTCAGATTTTGTGACGTTGCGTGTGTACATCAATGCCAAACCGCGTTGTTAGTTCGGGTCGGGGTTGGAAGAGCCTCTACGGCGGTACAGGAAGGAGCAACGCTTTGGCCGATCGCATCTATCTGACGGGTGCGCGTGCGGGTCATTCACAACGAATGTGCCCCTGAAGCGCGGGTGGAAGTATTACGTATTAGTAGAACAATGCAACTTTTTCTTACTGACGGGCCCGTACAGTAGTTGCAAAAAAAATGGGTTTGTCCACAGTTGCTGTCACAACAACGATGTAGGCTCACACCAGCTCGCTCGTTGAACATCGAAGCAAACATTGTCCCTCCACCAGAGATGAGGGAAATAACCAAAGGAGCAAGAAAGGAGGGTCAGTCGTGAACTTCATTTTCCTGCACCCCCCCCCGCCCCCGTTGTTTGGGAGTAGTAGAAGATCCGCCACCGATAGAAGAACCAGCGGGACTACGTTGTTCATTGCTTTACCATCACGTTCAAACGTCCGGCGGGGGCCTTCACGTTCATCACGTTGGGGACTCAACCCACCGCACCGCCAGACAGCTCTTACATTAACGCCTGTACAGATAGCGCCCGCAGTCGAGAAACAAACGTCAAAATCGGGTCGAGCCTCCATCCCTTATTTTGGGTCGAAGTACCGGCCCAACTCGTCCATTCTCTTAAAAGGCATTTCCTATTGCCTTGGACTGTCGCATCCTCCCGATTCGCTTATTCCTTGCAAGTACTTCGTATTTTCTTATTTCTGTCTCATAATCTCTGAGGACAATCAATCCACTTCATCAAGTCCTCAAGAGAGGTGCGTGGTGGAAAGTGCCATCTAACCCGTACAACAGCGGAGAGCATGTGGCTGTCCACAATGTTTGGCGTACTACAGTTGTTGTTGTACAGCACAGTGAACAGCAGGGGCCGGGGGGGGGGGGG